TCAGTTCTGCATATTAAAATAGGTTGTCAGAGGGCATTAGATTGTTGTTATTAGTATATTCTTAGGTTGTTTATTAAGGGTGTTTTTTTTTTCATGGGTAAGATGTAGTGTATAGTGAGTTGAGAATTCATTTATTATCACGGATTGGGATCTCTAGGGACGTTAGTATGGTTATTAGGTGATAGTCTAATAAAATCCTAATCGCTAGACGTATTGTGAAAATCTGGGAATTTGATCTGCAAATTCCCTCCCGTATAATTAACTGTTGTATAAGAATGATGGGTGAATCATTTGGACCTGCGCTAATGCATACAACATTCTTGACGAAACAGCAGTAGTGTGTATCCGCAAAAGATTCTTGTTTGCTTCCTCTCTTTTCCAATCATACCCATATCTAAGCAAGAAGAACTGTTAAATACTGAGTATAGAAACGTCAAAACCTTGACAAGTGTGAGTGACATTGAATACCATACCCCCTAGATTGGTAACCACCAGATTCGTGAATTTCTTTTACCCGCTCAACATAATCTTCTGGAAGCATCTTTGTAGAGGAAGGTACTATATTCAAACAATTACATATCTTAACAATTTTTACTAGAGAACATGACAGTGCACAAATAACCATTAGCTATAACCAGAGAAGACTCCTAAATGGATTACATTGTGAAATGTATGGTTTACCATCAGTTTGAGCTTGAAAGCTCCTGAATATTAAATAACTATATTTTACCATTCATCTTCAATAAATGTGACTGTTTACCATCAGAAGCTCATGAATGTTCAACATGAAGAAATAGTGTTTAGAAATTGGTCTACAGAAGAGGTACTTGAAACTGTTATGTATTATGAAGTAGGAACTTTAGCAAGTAAAATGACAACAGCCAGAACATGTTTCTCTAATGGAGGATAAAGTGGGCTTGATTCAAAATACTTGCATATCAACCTCTTAACGAAGAGTCACGCAAGGAAGATTTCCCATCCAATTATTCAGATAAAAGAAAATTTCTGTTTTTTTTTGAGATAGATAATTAATTATTAGGTGTTATTTTATATGATTTAACATTGAATTTTAGTCCATTTGGAGAGGTTAAGGTTAAGTTCTTGGCTTGAAATTTGACGAATTGGCATATAAATTATACCAAGATTTGACGTTTGATTAGAGATATGAGTGAGTTTAGGATCTATGATATACCTATAATAATTTGAATGTCCACAACTCGCTTACTTGTGAATATTGCATCATTGGTAGATCGTGAACATTCCAAAACTTAACAAAAAGGGAAGGAACTATCTTGAGGATTCGTGACACGAGCTCGACACTTGAGGTATGTTAAGACTTTTAGACTTGTTGAAGGACGTTTTCCTAATTAAAGATTAAAAATGGAAATAGACAATGGAGTAAGGGGGAAAAAGTGGTGGTCTCGTATCAATGGTGTGACGGGCATTGGTACGAGTACCGGTGTTATAAAAAGGAAAATTCTATTATAGAATGTGGATTAGAATTTGAGAATGCCAAAGCATATGGGTATTAGCTGATATATTATTGATTTGGATTCCTTGTGTGATTGTGTTTTATTTAATTCACCCGTATAGTTGTGATAATTGAGGTGGTTATGTATTATGTTCATATTGATTGATTGAGATGCATCATCATCCCCTCTATTGAAATAATATTGTGCACATGCATAGACATGAGACTGAGTATAAGTTGGGCACGTGGAGATCGTCCGTGCTGGGGATGGTGAGATGTTAAGATTGTAATTTGGACACGTGGAGACCGTCCGTGCGAAAATTGTTTGATATTATGATAGTGCGTTGAGATCGTCCGCACAGACACGTGGAGATCGTCCGTGTCGGTATATGGACCTCGCGAGTCCCCCATGGGTCATGAACTCTCGATGTATTTCCGAGGAGTATCATGTATATACGGTTGAGTGAGTACTGGGTATTCTGAGACATATCATTACATGGCATCATATTGCATTGCATTTCATCCCATCATTCATTCTTGATGACTATAGGTTTCGTTTGGTGTTTGGAAAATATTAAATGTTGATTTCCTTTATTGATGAAACTTAAGTAGTAAGTGTAATATATATATATATATATATACTTGTACAATCTAAGAAATTATTTTCTTATATAACTCCCGTCACTACTTCTTCGTGGTCGGTCAATGAGACATACTGAGTACACGTGGTTTCGTACTCATACTACACTTGTTGCACTCTTTGTGGTGCAGATTCGATTCCAAGTAGGAGCACATCTCGAGGAGCAGTTTGAGTCCGAGTTTGGAGTGTCTTGGAGTTGTGGTGAGCTGCTTGGCTGTTCCGTGGCCCACACCTCCCTCTATCTTTTACTTATTCTGTTATTCAGTATTCAGACAGGATACCCCTTATGTTAGATTTGCCTTTTTGGTTTCAGACTTGCATCGTATTTTAGAAGCTCTTGTACTCATGACACCATTTCTTGGGTAGTACTTTTTTCAGTTTTCCGCATTCGTACTTATAAGAACTCAGTGTTGGAGATTTGGAAATTTTTGTCTTTTCACTTCTTGTTAGTTAAGTTTGTTAAAATATGTTGGTTGGCTTACCTATTGGTTGGGAATATAGGTGCCATCACGACTCGTGATTTTGGGTCGTGACAATAATTCAACGGTATATCTATTTCAAGTAAATTTAAATTTATAACTAAGTTCCAAATATCATAAAGAATAAATTTCAATCATCAAAATTTGTTAAAACACCAACAATTTTTACTCTATTTAACATTCTTTCTAAAAAAAAAATCATGTAGTCATATATGACTAAATACATATTTCAAATGACTAATTATGCGCGTTTGAAATTCTTTTGTCGTACTTCTAATTTCATAACATTTAATTTTACTAAAATTACAATTTATTATAATTTGTGAAAATAACTTATAATAAAAATCGTAAAATAAATTGCATAAGTAACACTATTATTCTATATTGCTTATCTCCCTCATCAACTCATCTACCCAATTTATTCCCACTTCCGCTCCCAACATCTTATCTCCACCCTAATAATGGTTATTTAATTTAAATTATATACAAATATTTTTTTAATAATATTTTGTGTAATTACTTATATAATGTGACATTAGAAAATAAGTGACAAAACAATTTATATTATTTTTATCAAAATGGTATGTCATGCATCCCCTATCATAGTTCATTAGTATGTAGATTATAAAAGCTAAAACCACCATAAATTATTTTTTTAAAAGTAAAATAGCTAATTAGGGTAGAAGTAATAAATTTCATAGTACTGAGCTTGGTTATTTTTTATTTAATTTGAAAGGTTGTGATGGTGCATCACTCTAATTTGTTCGGACTCACTAAAAATATTATTGCATCGTGTCAAATCCTTCAAAAATATATTATTTTTAGAAAATTTAACACGTACCTATTGATATTTTTTAAGAGTCTGAGCAACATATCACTAATATTAATGGCAGACAAAATGCTTCCATGTGGGTGGTCACAATTCCCCCATAGGCTTAAGTCCACTTCTAATTTCCGTCGTAGAAAAGGCACAGCCATATCTTAAGCAATTAGGGTGTGTCTAAGTTTCTCTATATGCGTGACATCGAAACAATTTTCACGTATTTAACTCATAAAAGAAATCGGGTCCCAACCTAGTTATATTTAACTCTTCATGCAAGCAAATGAAGGAAGGATAAATACTTCGAGTAAGAGGGTGTCCTTGTGAATAATAAAAATTTCATGAAAATAAATAACCTTTTTATTTATTTTATTGGGTTTAGTATGTAAATAAAAAAAAATTACTCTATCATAAAATATGTATATATAATCTAAACAAATACTACAGGAGGCGACTGCATTTGGGATGAAGAGGACACAATCAATGCGGAGTACCATTTGTGAAACCTATTTTCCATACTTTCATTAGAAAAATCATTTTCATCGTTTTAAAGAAACATATTTTCTTAGAAAAATATTGTTAAAAATTTTTGACCAACAAACTGAAAAATGTTTTTCTCAATACTACTGCCCTTCCTCCCAAACTTAGCAAATTATTCAAAAGATTATGCACCTACTGCCTTGCTAGAAAATATCTAATTCTTCATACTAATTAACCACAGAATAACCAGACAAGGAATCTGAGATAAGAAGAAGGTAAATAAATGAGTATATACTATATGTTAAATTTATCTCATTCTGTATTTAGTTGAAATTGAAGTTTCAACAGAAATTGAGACAAGTTGTGGCAGGAAGAAGGGAGGAAATATAATAGGAAATAAGAGAGAACAACTGCCTAGGAAACAAGAAGAGCAATTTTTGGTTTGTTCAATTTTTGTAAATACCAAGACAAAGTTAAATATCATTTTCTGCTATTTCTACTTACATTCACCATTTGCGCGCAATCTTCGCCATCCTTAACAGCTCCTGAATGATGACATGATCCTTCGATTACATATTTATTAATATATCTTTCATGCTTTAGCTCATGCATAATGTCGATTCATATTCATACGGCTAAAGGCATCTCAATTTCCTTTGCGGAGTTGGTAGATGATGAATCTCCTCCATATTGTTTACCATCATTGATGTTATTGCTATTAGAAGTAGCAGAGTTTGCCTTGGAATCAGTCCTGGCAACACCAGGTTTCCCCATTGTGGCAGCCCTTGAGGTCCGCCTTGAAATCTGGCGGTTGTCATCAATGCTGCTGTTGCCAAAACAGCAGTGTTTCAAACAGGTGTAAATGTAAGTCAGGAGCCAAAATATGTAAGGAGAACCAACCAAGATCAATCCTGCAGGAGCAAACCACGGCTGAGAGTAATCTGGCACGAAAAGGTAGAGAACAAGGAGGACACCACCAGTTAATAAACAAAGACAGAACAAGGAAGAGATCAGAGGAACCCTCAAATCCCCCACCCTCTCCTCCATTGTCCTTCAAATTTTCTCCTTTTATATCCCTACAAAAGGATCAATCCGTCTTTCTTCCTTTTACCGTTGTTTCTTTTCTTCTCTACTTTCTTTTCCTTTTCCTTACTCTAATATGTTCTCTACTTTTCTTTCATTGTCGTCAGTTTTCTCTCATTCAGATTCTTCCTTCTCCACCTCCTCCTCCTTCTCTAATGGAGATCATGCAATCAAGATCTCTCTTTTTACTTTTCTTTTTTCTTTTCCTTTACTTTTTTTGGTTAACCTGTTTTCCTGGAGATGCAAACGAGAAACAATAGGATGGACAATTTCAGGAAAGAAGAAATGCGTTTAAAGCGGAAGGTTGTTTATGAAAAATAAAATGGTAATGCTGATCAATTTGTTTTAACCAAATTAATACAAAATACAGAAAATATAACAACTAATAGTACAAAATATAGAAAGTGTCATTCTTTATTCATTCTTTATTGAACGGACTAAAAAGGAAGGTGTGTCATATAAATTTGGACAAACAACGTATAAAATCTTCAAAATCAAACCAAAATAAAATAGCATAAATGCCGGTTAAAATAATATTCTATTTGATAATTCTTTCTTTGAAGAAATGTTTTAAAGGAAAAATCATTTTTTGTTCCTCTCCTTTTGCCTTTAAATCAAATTCTCCCTCCAATTTTAAACCATAGAAATTTTCTCCCCTATCCCAAGCAATGTTTGTTTTGCACTTTAGTTTTATAATCCTCACTATATGTAATTTGTTTATTATATTACTTAAATTCCTTTTTTCAACTCAAGTGCTTTGTCTATAATTCATATGATGACATATTTTATTCAAAATTATGAATTCTAAATGTATAACCGTTCTAAATAAAATGATTTTAAGGGCGCCAAATTGACTGGTGATTTTATAAATCCATGTTTATATTTTATTCTATATTATTGACCTCTATTTTATGTGCATGTTCTTAATATTGTGATACTTCTTTTCATTTCTTTTTCCATCTAAGTTGTTTGATTTACCTATATAATAGGTCAATCTTTATTTATGGAATAAAACAAGGTAAATAAATGGTAATCATACATATTTTAGAGTTTGCTTCATCAAACAGATAGTTTATACAACACCATATATTAATAGTTATTCCAAATATTTGCAGACATAACATTTAGTTATTAGTCTACAGTCTACTAGAATTTTATATATATTAGTTTCTAAATAAAGATAAATTACACATATTCTTGAGTTGAATAAACAAACTATTTAATTTTTCACTGTTCAGGTCTGGAGATAATATTTAATAATCAAATATGTCTTCACATTCAAACATCTTAATCTTAAGCAAAACAATCGGGTCTGAAGTTAAATGGAACGACATTGTTCCATCTCAAATAATTAAGCAATTTGATGTTCCAACGTCGGTGACGTATCATCAGATGACGCGCTTTTTCTGTCACATCATCACTCAAGGGGTTAACTGATTCTCTTCAAACAAGATCAGAGAGGTAAAGGGTTGCCAGCAAAGTTTAGGTGTATAAGAAATTTTTTGGGACAAGGAGGAAAATAAGAATTTTCCCTACTCACACATGTATACGTGTCTGTATAAACATATGCTCTCAGTATGTGTACATGTGTGTGTATTAAGATTCTATATGTGAATATGTAAACATATTATGTGTGTGTGGGCGCGCATCAATATACACACACATACATATGAATATGCATATATTTTCTGTATTTATTTATGCTTAATTTACTAAGTTCATATGTCAAAAGATATGTATGTATCCTATCCTACATCTCCTACCTTGTATGTGAAAACTTACTAGTATCCAGTCCAAAGTTCCTCTAACATTGGGAAATTTATCGTCTGCAAGAGCTTAAATCAATTTTCAATTCAATCAAGCAGAACTATATCCAAGATCCTCAACTAGCTCATGTAAATAAAATGCAAAACTGCTTAAATTTTGAACTTACCTTCCAAAACGCGGAGCTATCACCAATAATTGCACCCTAAGTGTGTCTATCACAGGTGTACTTTCATCAAGCATTAGGTTGCAGGTCCTCATAGAAGCACATACTGGGCTAGCATCTATCAGAGATATCAAGCAACATCTGCCAAAGAAACTGGACCTATAAGTCGATGCATTTCACAAATTCACACTCGTAGATCTTCAATTTAGAGATGTTTGGAAAGCCTACCTTTCGATGAGACTTCACAATACCTTGAATGGTTTTTTAGTGAGTAAGTTTCCAATCCCAGAGAGATTCACCAAGAGGAAACCAGAAATTCTACTCTGGAACTTCTATAGACTGGAATGAAGGGAAAAAACATGTTAGCGAACATTAATTTCTTCTGAAGAACCGAATTTTGAATAACATCCCCGATAAACTAATGTGCCACTATCTTCAATCAATGCCGAAAGACTTCCTAATGCTTTGTATATGTCCATTTCTCTAGGATTGCATCTGTCATTTGAAACAAACTGAGAAATACAACCATTTATCTCAATCCAGCTACACGCCAATTCTTTCTTCAAATCATACTTTTTAAGTAGTGTTCTCACTCGAGCTGCATCTTTCCACATTCCTCTTGCAGAATACATATTTGATAGAAGTACACATATTCCTGTATTAGAAGGCTGAAGGCTTAGAAGTTTCTGTTCCACAAGATCACTTAAATCAAAATTCTCATGGACTCTACAACAACTAAGTAATGTCTCCTGAGCATGAGCAGGGGGATCAAGAGGAATTTGCTTGATAAGTTCGAAGGCTTCAGCTAGCATCCCTGATCTTCCAAGGAGATCAACCATGCAGTTATAGTGCTCAGCCTTTGGAGTTATACTCCACCTTCTCTCCATTGATACAAAGTAGCTCCAACCCTCGTCCACTAATCCAGAATGAGCACAAGCAGTTAGGACACCAAGAAAAGTTACATGGTCTGGTTCATATCCAGCTTGAATCATAGAAGGAAAAAGATCGAGGGCTTCTTTAGCCGAACCATGACATGCTTGTGCTACAATCATGGCATTCCATGATATTGTGTCTCGTTTTTTCATACTTCTGAAAAGTGAGGAAGCTTCATATATAAATCCACACCTAGAGTACATGGATATGAATGCACTCATAACCATCGTATCATTTTCAAAACCACTCTTAGTTACACTGGCATGCAAAGCTCTTCCCCAACCATATAAAGCAAGAACTCCACATAACGAGACCACATTGGAAAATGTGGTCTGATCTGGCTTGTAATTGTTTTGCAACATCCGGATATATAAAGCCAAAGCTTCCTCATTTTGATATCCTGAAATGATAGTGTTCCATGAGGTTTCATCTTTTCTAGGCATCTGCTCAAACAACTCTCGAGCACTAGTTATATCGCCTTGTTGGATGAAACCGCACAATATCGAATTCCATGATACTGTGTTCCTCCATGGCATCGTATGAAACAGGTGTAGAGCATCTTTCAGTCTTCCATGTTGCAGATAACCACTTAGCATTGAGTTCCATGCAATATTATCCTTTTGAGGCATTGCAGCAAAAAGTTTTCCAGCCTCCTCCACGTTATTATTTTCACAATACCCTTTAATCATTACAGTCCAAGCCACAACATCCTTGTCAGGCATGTCCTCAAACAACCTTCTCGCTTTCTCCACCTCCCTGGCTCTTAAGAAACACGTGATCATACTAGTCCAAGATGCCACATCACGCCTAGCCATTCTCATAAATAACTTATACGAATCCTCAGTCCGCCCCATCACACCATAACCTGCTAACATAACATTATAAAGTGGCACACTTTTCACTTGTGCTTCACTAAACAACCTCTCAGCTTCACTCACATCCCCATACTTGAAGTATCCTTCAATCATAACCCCAAACGATACATCATTCTTAATCCGCATTGCATCAAACAACGCTCTACCTTCCTCTATTCTCCCATTGCTCACGTACCCCGAGATCATTGAATTCCAGCAAACCACATTCTTATCATCCATTCCATCAAACATCCGCCGTGCCACTTGTAAATTCCCATTCTTTGCATACCCACTTAACAAGGCTGTCCAAGAAACAACATTTCTACTCGGCATTGTGTCAAACACTTGTTGAGCATCACACATCATCCCATTTGTTACATACCCAGAAATCATACAGTTCCAAGTTACTACATTCCTCTGAGGCATTTCATCAAACAACTTGCGTGCCCCCTCAACATCACCTTTCTTGAAAGAATTAGTAATTTTTGAGTTCCAATTGTACAAAGAGTTTGCAATTGAACCCACATATCGAATCAAAAAACAAGAATTTGCGTTCCTAAAGCAAATATGTGAAGCCCATTTGAGCAGTATATACATAATATACTCTACTGCTTAATTAGTTAAAGATTGATTTCAAAGAGGGGAAAGAAAAAAGAAAAGAATAACAAACATCCTACGCGTATTACTAGTTTTTTAATTTTCAATTAACATCAAAAAAAAAAAAAATTATTCGTATCTCGCGTGGAAATTTAATATTATAAAATTTATAAAATAATACTTAAAATCTATTGATTATTAAAATTAAAATATTGTATTATCTTACAAACAAGATTATGTAGTAACAAATATTAATTATTTTATAATTTATCATTTTACTTCAAGAAAGTGTAAAGTGTTACTATTTGACATTTTTTATTATCAAATGAACAACAACATGGTATATTAATCTTTTTAATAAATAAATAATCATTGTCCAAGGAATAAATAAATTCAAAAGACTGAAAAAAAGTAAATAACTATTTTAGTTTTGATCCGTTGAAAGTCTAGCCCTACCTTTTGCTTTACATATATCATTTTAAAGTTCCTCATCAAAATTATCATAAAAAATTATTAAAATTAAAAATTAAAAAAAAAATCTATCATATATCATATTAACTTGTTTGGATGCTGTTTAAAAATCAGCAAATTAGAGTGATTGAGTTCGATTTGATACTATACTTTTATTCTAATTTCAGTGTCAAGAAACACATCTATTACTTTAAAAAAAAAATTATTTACAATTTTTACAGTAAACTTGAGAATCTATCAATACTTCATATTTAATATGAGCAATTAATTTATTTTGTAATCATCTGTTTTTAAAATTAAATAGGCTTCAATCTAGTCATATTCCTTTATATGTCATCTAGTACAACATCTTTGAAATCCTGTCAAATGCTTATTAATTTAATTAATTCTTGTCTTTTTTCTGCTTCACTTCGCACATCAACATATGATAAGATTTCTTAAGGTCTTTATGTTCTTACAAAAGACATATCAAATTTGAATTTTGTCTTTAAGGGAATTTTTTATTGTACCTCAATAATTGCAGGAGAGAAATTTGTATGAATACTCAATGAACTCATGTTAATTAATTTATACTAACAAATACTTATAACAATAACTTTGTAGAAAGATAACTTAAAACATGTACTCAAAATAACAATTAATAACATCATCATAAATTAATGACCGTAAAAAAACATAATATGATATGTAACAATAGAATAAAACAGAAAGGAAAAAATCAAGTTCACTGAATGCATGATATCCTCTTAAGAAAATTATTCTTCTCTAGTAACCGAGGTTTAAAGGAACAAATCCTTCAAGAATAAAACGATTCTATTCAGAGAAAATTCCTCTATTTAAAAAACAATAAAGGGTAGTGTCATCAAATATTTATTGTGTCTTACGGAAAGTCACAACTCTTTGAAAAAGTTACAGTCCTCCGAAAAGATCACAACACTTCATAAAAGTTACAACTTTTTATAAAAGTTACAACTTTTCATAAAAACCACAAATTTTCATTAAAGTAATAACTTTTTCTAAAAGTCGCAACTTGTCATGAAAGTCGCAACTCTTCATATTTCATTCAAAGCTCTAATAATGATATACCTTCAATCTATATTGTACTATCTCTAAACAAAAAAAAAATGAATAACTCAAATCACCAAAGGTAAAGTAAAATTATCGAGAAACGGTAGACTATTGCATGCAACAATGCAAGTATAGATAGGATTATAGGAGAAACATTCGCAATTTCAAAATTAAAAAGAAATTTCTCAAGATATAACTGTTATATATTCATCTGAACTAGCTAATTCACATAGTTTGGCTCAATACTTTATGATCTGGTATCGATTAGTTAAATTTAAGTTTGACCTGGTATTCATATATGGTGATCAATTGCTTAAGTCAGTTAAATGGGGTGCTGATATTTATACATATCGAAGATTTGGTGAAAGTTTAATTTGTAAGATGGTGGTAACAATTATAAAAATTTCTTGAAAAAGGAAAAGACTAGTTTTAAAAATAAATAAATTAAAAGATAATTTCAATTCGTAATGATACCCTAGAGTTCTCTCTTTATATATATTATTCTTTTGTTGATTAATATTCAAAAAATTGTTAATTATTCCTATCAGTAATAAGAAGTTATGTTAAGCTTATTATGGACTTCTAAAATGAGTCCAAAAATATAATTTTTCTTTATAAAATGACTTAAAGGTACATTGTAAGGGTAAAACAAATTATTGACTTTTCTTGACATGTTAAAAGTGACAAGTAAAAATAAAAATCTATTTTAAAAATTAGTGACAAGTAAAAATGAATGAGAGACTATAATTATATAAGGACCAAAATAAAATTGTCAAAAGTTTTATCATCCCTAATTGTTAATATGCTTGAGAATTATAATAAATATGACGATTACATGTGTCATCATGCCACATAAGTGTCACGTAAGTTTCACATGGCACAAAATTGCCCATTTAGAAAGCTTACATATGAAGAAGTATAATATTATCAACTGTACTTTATATAAAAGCTCAAGATTTGAAGATGAATAGTTAATTTTTTTTTAAAAAAAATTAAAGAAAGATGATCAATTGATGAAGTTGTTATTAAACAATTTTTGTATTGAATATATGTCGTTGAAAAAGGAGAAACACTTTCAGAACTGTTCGATAACTATGCAAATCATGTAATTTATTTTTAATTTTTTAGTTTTGTTTCAAATATAAAAAATATTGAATACATATATTTTTTAATCTTAACTTAATTTTTATTATTTGGGGGGGGAAAGGCTAGTCCATGGTAGAAGATTCTAGATAATTATGGCAATTTCTTAGATAAAAACTAGAATATCATACATATTTCACGAGAAGTCCTTAGAAAATTCTAGACACGTAGAGAGTTCTAGAATAATGATACTTTATAAATATATAAGGACTGACATAACAATAATTATTTATATTTTTAGCCCCTAAGTTAGTATATAAATAGATGAACATCCATCCACAAATCATCCAACAAAAATCAATAACATGAGAACAAAGTTTAGGTATACCAGATGAAAACAAGAGCAAAGACTAAGTGAAACAATCCGTTGGACTTATCATTCCCCACACATTGTTGTCATAAGGTAATTATTTTTTCGCAAAGAATAAATTTATATTTTCGTATCATAATTTCTTATAAGTGAAATGAGCATGATTTTAATTTTTAAAAATTTTTATTGGTCCCACATAAGTTATAATTTTGCGAGTGTATAAGTAAACATTAGCTTGCAGATCTAAACAAACATGGCAGATGAAGTGAAGATTTACAGGAATTGGTCAAGTCCATATGGCTTGAGGGTTGTTTGGGCGCTGGATATCAAAGGCATCGAATACGAAAACATCTTTGAAGATTTAAGCCAGAAGAGCCCTCAACTCCTCCAGTATAATCCTGTTCACAAAAAAATTCCTGTACTTGTACACAAAGGCAAACCAATCTGTGAATCATTGGTGATTCTCGAGTATATCGACGAGACATGGAAGGAAACAACTCCTTTGCTACCTAAGGATCCTTATGAGAAAGCCATTGCACGATTTTGGGCAAAATTTGTGGACGACAAGGTAAGATATCATTGATATCAGATCAATAATGAAATTTATGTTAACTATTTTCGTGTATTTATATAATTTGACTTTAGGCCACTAATTTTATTTTATTGAGTGTTATTCGTATATTTAACATTTGAGCTAAGTGATCAATCGGACAACAGGCATTTTTAGTTATTGAATTGGTCATTTTCGTTGATATTTTTGTCTTTCACGAACCGCAGCTTCTGCCATCAATATGGAGTGTTTTCACAGAAAAAAGATATGAGGCGAAGAAGGAAGCTCTTGTTCCAGCAATGCAAAACCTAGAATTCATTGAAGAGCAATTGAAAGGGAAGAAGTTTTTCGGTGGAGAAAGTATAGGATATGTGGATCTCGCACTTGGTTGGATGGCGTATCTTCTTGATGTATTTGAGGAGGTACTCGATCTGAAGTTGTTTGATGCAGACAAATTCCCGCTCTTATCAGGATGGACGAAGAACTTTTGTGATGCTCCGGCAATCAAACAACACTTGCCACCCAGAGACAAACTAGTAACCAAATTCCAGCTGTTTCATGAAAAATTTCAAACAGCAAATTAAATAGTGAAAATTGTTGTAGTATAAGTACCTGAGCTGATTGTGGAACCGTTTGTATGATCAACTACTTTTAAATATGCTTTTAGGACTATGTATCAGGAACTTCTAAACTGCAAATTGTAGTTGTATTAGCTTTGAACTTCAATTGTAATATTGGTAAAATTGCAACTTTGTATGAATAATGAATGCAACATCTCATTGCATCTCTTTATATTTTAAAAAATAGTACTTCTTTTGCCATTTGTCTATGGTCATGAATGGAACTAATAATCTTTACTATCTCTGAGTGAATTAGTTCATCACTTACTGTAAGATAGTGTTCATGTGATTGTTTCAAACTTGCATAAACAAGACCTTTCTTCCAAGTATCTATCTCACTCTTACTCCGCTTGAGAAGAAGATGGATTCTTTAGCAATCGAGGAGTTCTTTGAAAATAAGTATTTAATGCCAAAGGATAAAATATGAAAAAAAAATTTATTGTATGTCAAAAGCGATTAGTAAAAATGTAAATTTATTTTAGAAAATGAGTGAAATAAAGTGAACAGAAAGAAGCATATAATATAAAGATCAAAATTATTGACTTAACATACTTACAAAAAATTATAAATAAAAGGATAATTTTATTATATTACTCTTGAAATATAATAAATACAGTGTTTTGGAAAAAGTAATAAGAAAATAACTATAATGAATGATATGAATAGATTAGAAACTAAGTGTAAAATTATCCATAAATTTTATAAAGTAATCAAGTATTATTAGATATTTATTTTTAATACAAAGATAAATATTATTAAACAGAGGGTGTAATTATTTATATTTTAACTCCTAAGTTTATAGATGTGAGCACAGAGTTTTGGAATACCAGATGAAAACAAGAGCAAAGACCAAGTCAATAGAAAAGACATGGTGAAAAAAATAACTGGGCTTGTCATTTCCACACACTGTTGTGATAAAGGTAATTAGTCCAAACTCCAAATCATCTACGAAAATCTAATCTTTAAATTCTCTTATTATCATTATCCCCTATTAGTTTTATAAATTTTCAAAACTCCTCATTTTCACGCATCAAAATAAATGTATCTCGCGCATCAAATTAATGTATCATGTATAAAATGTATATCAGATTAGTGTATTATGTATAAACTGTAATATACCTTACTTAATGATTAATGTATCTCGCTCATCACATTAATGTATCAGCGCTTATATTATTGTATCAGTTTAAGAGATTTTGTAATTATAAACTTATGGGGAAAAAATGCTAATTTTACCATCTTTTGCCCTTTTTTAATTAATTTAAGGAGTAAAAGAGACACTTTGTGAGTGTATAAATAAACATTAGCTTCCAGAATTCAGTTGCAGATTAAAACAAATATGGCTGATGAAGTGAAGCTTTACAGGACATGGTCAAGTCGATTTAGTTTAAGAATCATTTGGGCACTACATATCAAAGGGATTGAATACGAAGCCATCTTTGAAGATTTAAGCCATAAGAGCCCTCAACTCCTCAAGTATAATCATGTTCATAAAAAGTTTCCTGTACTTGTACACAATGACAAACCAATCTGTGAATCACTGGTGATCCTCGAGTATATCGACGAGACATGGAAGGAAACATCTCATTTGCTACCTCAGGATCCTTATGAGAAAGCCATGGCACGTTTTTGGGCAAAATTTGTTGACGACAAGGTAAGATACCATTGATCACTATTGAATTCAGGACAATATAATTTGACTTTAGACCATTAATTTTACTGAGTCGTATAAGTACATTAACATGTGTATCTATATAATTTGACTTTAGACCAAATACCAACCGCTTCATGAAAAATACCAGACATTAAATTGAATGGTGAAAATTGATGCAGAATGTGTCTTATAGGTTATGGAAATAGCAATAAACTGATTGTGAAACTGTTTGTATGATCAAATACTTCTGGATATGATTTCTAGACTATGTATCAGGAATAATAGAAGCATTACCTGGCTATATATTTTTAACTTTTTTATTAATATAATAACTGAAAGAAATGTTTCTAGCTTTCTCTTGTTAATATTCACAAAATTAATAATTATGCCATCATTTAATTAGTAAGAAGTATTGTTAAGCTTATGATGTATTTCTAAAATGAATCCAAATGTAATATTTTTTCTTTATAAAAGGGCTAAAAGGTACATTTTAGTTTATATTTTTTAAGAATTTAAATGTATTAAATCATATAATATATGGACCAAAACAAAATTTTATCATTAATTAAAGGGTCAAAAGTTCTATTATTCCTGATTATTAATTTGCTTGAGAACTTTTTTAGTAATAAATATGACTACTTGCCACATTATCTTGTCATATAAGTACCACATAAGATTCGAAAGAGACTCCTCTACAATAATGATCTCTCCAATTTCTTGAAGTGCTACCTTATATAATTGATATGTGTCCATTTAATTATTTAATGGACCAGATTAATTTTCTTGATCAAATATCATTAACGATGGTTACTAGTAATTCTCTCTCCTCTCTCCTCTCTTTTCTTCTCACTTTTTTTGACCAAGTATCATTAGCCCTGGTTATTAGTAATTCTCTTTCCTCTCATTCCTTTCTTAATTATCAAAGAAACACTTCTTTCCCTCTAAAACTCTTCGAAAAAATAAAGCAATCAAACATCATTCGTGTAAATTAACAAATGAAAATTAAAATTATATCAATATTTTAATGTTTTTACATTTATATGTGAAATGAAGTGATTAGCCCTAATTAAGGATTACAACTATAAATACCATAAGAAAGAAGACCCAAAAAATAAATGGAGAATTTCACAGAAAAAGAATATATGAAAAAATATTTTCCTACTCATTTTTCGTGCCCATTCTAGATCTATTAGATGCAGAAACTTCAAATTGAAAAAATGATGTTACGAAAAAGACGACGAAATTTTGTGGAATCGAGCTTCAGAGAAATAGTTTCATGGTTGAATTTTTTAAATTTTATAACCCAAAGTCATTCTTTGAATTTGTCTTCTTTTATCATAGTGTGAAATAATGAAAAGGAAAAGTGATTTGTTGGTTAACAAATCAAATTCTTTGTTAGAGAAAATGATTGTTGCATAATCAAGTGAGGAAGAAAGAGAGAAGAGAGGAAAGAGAACTAAATATTAATAACCACGATTAATGGTATTTGATCAAGAAAATTAATCTGGTCCATTAAAAAATTTAATTGACACATGTCAACTCTGGAGAGATCATTACTGGAGAGGAGTCTCTTCCGTAAGTTTCATACGATACAAAATTGCAAGAGATTATATTGGAAGAAGACTAGTCGCTTCGAGAGAAGTGTGAGAATATCATGCAGAGCCTAGAATATCATAGTTTTTTCTATCTGAAAGATTTTTATTCTAGACGCAGAGAGAGTTCTTGTAATAACACTATTTGTAAATACATAAAAACTTCTATAATAATTATAATATCCAGAGCCTAAAATATCATAATTTTTTCTATCTGAAAGATTCTTATTCTACACACAGAGAGAGTTCTTGTAATAAGACTATTTTGTAAATATATAAAAACTTATATAATAATTAATAATTTACACTTTTATTCCTAAATTAGGAATATATAACTAGATAAACTTCCATTTGTAAATTCATCTCACAAAAATCAATCAAAATTCCCTACACATCTTTCTTCCTATACTCTTTACACTAAAGCACAAAGTTTTGGACTTGTCATTTTCACACATACTGTTGTGATAAGGTAATCAGTCCAAATCAAAATATAAGAAAATTATTTTTGTCAAAATTTTCCAGGCTTTGTAACGCAATGCCTGACATCAGATTTTGGCTTGAAACTTTAAAATATTTGAGAAAGAAAATAGCAAAGATTTGTAATATTTATACATCCCCTTTGTGAAAGTAAAGAGCAACGTGAGTGGATCATTTGGACTTTTTGCCCCTATTTTGTGTGGATCATTAACTTACATTTCTCATATGACAAATAAATAAACATTAGCTTGAAAATATCAATTGCAAATTAAAACAAACATGGCTGATGAAGTGAAGCTTTACAGGACATGGTCAAGTCCATTTGGTTTGAGGATCGTTTGGGCGCTGCATATCAAAGGGATCGAATACGAAGCCATCTTTGAAGATTTGAGCCAGAAGAGCCCTCAACTCCTCCAGTATAATCCTGTTCACAAAAAGATTCCTGTACTTGTACACAAAGGCAAACCAATCTGTGAATCACTGGTGATTCTCGAGTATATCGACGAGACATGGAAGGAAACAGCTCCTTTGCTGCCTCAGGATCCTTATGAGAAAGCCATGGCACGATTTTGGGCAAAATTTGTGGAAGACAAGGTAAGAAACTGTTGATCTCTCTTCATTTCAGAACAAAAATACTTTAGTCTATACAATTTGACTTTAGGCCACTAATTTTATTGAGTACTGGTGAATACACTCGAACAAATAGGCATTTTCAGTTATCATTTTCATTGATATTTGTCTTTCATGATCTGCAGCTTCTGCCATCAGTATGGAGTATTTTTACAGAACAAGGATATGACGCGAAAAAGGAAGCTTTTGTTCCAGCAGTGCAAAACCTAGAAATCATTGAAGAGCAATTGAAAGAGAAGAAGTTTTTTGGTGGAGAAAGTATAGGATATGTGGATCTTGTACTTGGTTGGATGGCGTATCTTCTTGATGTGTTTGAGGAGGTACTCGATTTGAAGTTGTTTGATGCAGACAAATTCCCGCTCTTATCAGGATGGATGAAGAACTTTTGTGATGCTCCGGCAATCAAACAACACTTGCCACCACGAGACAAACTAGTAACCAAATTCCAACTGCTTCATGAAAAATTTCAGACAGCAAATTGAATGGTGAAATTGCTGCAGTGTGTGTCTTTATAGTTATAGGGAAATAACAAGAAACTGATTGTGGAACTGTTTGTATGATCAACTACTTTTGGATTATGTATCAACAATAATAGAAGTTTAATTTTCATGGCAATATATTTTTAATTTTACTAGCTTCTGAACACGTGCGTTGCACGTGTATATCATGTTAATTAGCATAGATATTTCTAAAAAAGATAAGTGTGTGAGGTGTAAAATACAAGCTAAAATAAATGAATGGTGCAGCATATTCAATTGATATTATGATCATTGCCAAGACACATCATACACAAATATTCTTATCAACTGAATTATTTTGAAAACTAATACTATGACGACTTCAATTATACAATTCTTGTAATATATCAAATATTCAACTTGTTAAAAGTTCTTTTTAATATGCTACAACACATAATTTAAATGTTGACATTATAGTTACAAAATATTTAATGCATTAAAGCTTCCGCCTACTTCTTAAGGAATAATCCCCTCCACTTTTTTACAAATGCATACATATCGATAACTTGTCGTCGAAGAAAAGTAGTGTTTTGTAATAATTGTAAAGAAATTCGATCAATATATGTATTCCTTAGGATGGCTAATAGATCATTATCAATTTCATATTCTACACCTACAAAATAAAAGTATTTATTTGTTAAAATTATTAATTTTATCATCTATAAATTTTGATAAAAGAAATTTTTGTCAAGTTATAATATATAATTGAATTATGAAATACAACACAATCATTTGTGAGATATTAACACCATGACAGAAAAAAAAAACCAATATAAACCAAAAATTATATGATACTTTTGAAGGTGTCTGCATAACTCAATTTCCCTAATTTCCAATTCATAAACAAAAAAATTAAATAGAAGCATAAATAACACTAACAAAACAAAGAAAACATCTGGAGGTATATGCTAGATATGTTGTCAATGACAATCTAACATTCCCAAAAAGCAATGTGCATATCACAATATCTAGATATCAAAATAAATAGGAAAACTAAGTTAATTGCTCAATAATTTGTTCATGAATGGATAGAAAAGCATCAATATACGTTGTTAAACTTACAACTCAAAGCTAGGACTGTTATTAGGAGCAATACATAAAAAAAAAAAAACTACAACGAATAGCAAGTGATGGATATTTATGTTTTTAAAGAAGGCTAAGCCACATGATAAATATGCTATCTCTGGATGAGGTTAGTTCCAGCAAGCCAAGTCACAGTGATCTCTTAATATTTGAAGTTCAAGCAAAAGTGAACAATTGGTTACAAGGGTTAAGAGTTTCCCCGGATAAGGGAAGTTAATTCATCTTACAGAGTGGAAGCTAAGACCAAGATAGGAAGGGGTATTGTGACATCACAAAACCGAGACACCAGACAAGAAGTAGCCACAAAATTTTGCAATATCAAATTGATGTTTGTGCAAGAACAGCGAACAACGGGAGCAAAAGTTCGAATAGTGTATTTCAAATTTCAAACTTCCCAACGAATAAACAGAAAATAAGGGTAACAAAAAGGCTATTGATAAAGAAGAAAACAAATTTACATGACATAACATAAACAACAATATCACAAAAATAACAATATCAAAAACATAGCGACTCATGATATGACATACACAGTAAAAAGGAAAACACAACAGATCTTGATAAATAAAGAGGCAAAAAAAGTTTACCTGATGTATTTGAATTAATGAGGCACAGAAAAGAGAACAGATTAATGGATATAACAATGGAGACATTTATAGAGATGACTAAAGAATCTGAAAAGGTTTATAACAATTTGACATTCATAGAGATGACTAAAGAATCTGAAAAGGTTTTGCATCATCTGATAATTAAAGCAATGGAAGTTGGAAAAAGGATGTTACACCAATCGGCTGAGCAGAAACGTATACTTTCTGGAGAATTAAATTAGGGCTGAGATTATCAGCAATTTTTTAAAAAAAATTAATATTTAAGTAATACTATAAGGTTAAAAGGGTAAATTAACTTTGGGGTAAAGAGGTTCCTACTTATAATAATATATGATTAATAATAATATGAAAGTCTCGTTTCAATATTCCGATGTATTAGATTATGAACCAAACAGTATCACATTAAGAGTAATATTGACATAAAAACATACATAAACAATTGTGAAGTTATCAATTACACACCTAAACAATGTGTACTATAATTGGGTAACTGAAATTCACAATAGTTTCGTAATTAAGTTCAGTAGAAGCAGATGTTATTTGACCAAGAACAAGCTTGGTCATATCGCAGGAGTGAAACATCTATATGTACAATGAACCTTCTTCGTCAGAGACTGAGTTAATATATAGTCCCACTTTGGGGACTTCCCTTTGGGACAGGTAGGATTTCATAAGGTATGACAACTGGTGCAGCTTTGGCAAAAATGTTTGGCCGGCAGTTGGCCAACAGAGCTTTAAATATTCAATCTGCCCCTCTCTGATTGAACTAAAGAAGATTTAGTAATAGAAACTTTACCTTTTGTCATTTGTCAATACTTCCATTTTGCAGCCTTCAATATTTCATCTTTCTTCCGTCATGACTGGAACTAGTCATCTTTAACTTTTTGAAAACATGTCATATCTATCTCTGAGTGAAGTAGTTCATCAGTCACTGTAAGATTACATGTAACATTTGGGCAGGAATTGACCAAATCCATAGAGAGTGTCGAAGTGACTGTTTCAAACTTGCATAAACAAGACTTTATTCCAAGTATCTATTCTCACTCTTACTCTGCTTGAGAAGAAGATGGCTTCTTTCGCAATCGAGGACTTTGTTGGAAGTGGATCTCTGCAAGGACTTCTACCAAAGCTGCTGGAGGAAGGCTGGGATGATGTACCAACTTTGAAGACTATGAATGCAGACGATATGAACGAGTTGAACATGACTCAACGACAAAAGGTTCTCTTTATTGATAATTCACCCTTTCTTGTTATCTCTCGAGAAAATCATCTGGGGTTCATCTTCATATAATTTTGCGAATCTGTGTCAATAAATGAGTAACTCTTGTGTTTCCCTAGATAATATGGCCTATCACAAGAATTAAGTTAACAACAGAAATAAGATAATAAAGCTTCATGTGCTTAATCAAAAGTCCTAAACTCCTCCATTCCATGTCTATGTTATTTGCTCAAATTAAAATATGGACAGAAATTTGTCAGGCTAGTGTTCTGTACCACTGAAAAGTTACAGAAAAACAAACTAAGATATTGCTCTGATGATTTATTTATTTCCTAATCTAGGATGCACTGGATATCAGGTCTTACCTGCACAATCGTGCACTGATGCAATATGCGGATACGCTTGAGGAGTCTGGGAAGTCTCTTCCTGAGCTTCTTAAGCTAACCAAAGTAGATCTTACTACAGTGTATGGAATGAAAAGGGGCCATGTTGCCCGTTTTACAGACAGAACTACAACTTCTGCGGGAGACACTTTGTCAGAAGCCTATAATCTCCAAGCGAGCAGAAGAACAGCCTCAAGGAATGAGAGTCTTTACGAGAAAATTTCTGCTGTCACCACCAGGAAGCAAAGTATGACAAGATCTCTTGGAAGAACCAATACAGCTTATGATGCATCCCTTGAACAATCAATGGCTGATTTCAAAATTAAAGATGGACATGTTTTTAAGGGAATTGTAGCTTCAATGCCAGATGAGCCTAGAGCATGTGGCTGTGTGCAGGCAACCCCAGTAATCGAGAATGTTGCTCCTTATTCCTCCATTGAGAATATCTCAGTTCAGAAACTGACACCAGAGTACAAGATTGGAATGGAGCGTCTGGTGAAATCAAAGACTCCGCCAATGAAGGCTTCAGAGCTCTGGCGTGATAAACCAGCAGTGATTCTATGCATTCGTCGCCCTGGGTAAAGCATCAAATCATTACTGCAATTCACACCTATAATTAATAAAAATCGTAGCTAGATTGGTATGCTATATCTTAGACGCTGACTATTTTAGGTTCATACACATACTTGGTTAAAAAGAAATAAAGGAACATCTTGCAAGAATCTCACAAGGAAACTCAAGTCAATATCTGCATAGAACTTCACCAACAGTAGATGATCTAATAGTCTCTATGATTTCAGTAAACTCTGATGCACTGATGAAGGATACAATCTAGGAAAGATTTTTCCTTGAAAGAACAAGTGATATTTACTTTTTATAGGAAAGAAAATGAAATTAATTATTTATTTACAAGCAAGAATTAGTGCGTCTCATATCAAAAAGACTATCGGAAACAGGTGCATCATGTGCAGAGCTGAAGCCCACCAACTCTATGCAAAGAAACCAATATTTGACGCGTTAGGGATTCAATTATTTGCTGTTCTTCATGAGCAAATAGAAGCAGAGGTAACCTTTTTCTACATTTTCTTTGACATTTCTTTGGAAGGACCTGGTTTTTTATGCTGGGTTTTGTTATCCAGGTAAAGGATTTCTGGCCTCGATATTGGGGTGGTGTAGTCCTCTTCGACAGAAGCATGGAATTTTATAAATCTCTGGGAGGAGGAAATCTTCTAAAAGATAAGTTCATATCAGGCTTTCTTTTTAACCCTAGAGCTATTGCAAATTACAAGCGAGCAAAATCCATGGGGGTGGAGCAAAACTTCAGGGGTGAAGGTGAGATAAAAGGAGGACTCTACATTGTTGGCAGAGGAAAGAGTGGAGTAGCTTATCAATTTATTGAAAGGAATTTTGGAGACTGGGCACCCCATGCTGAAGTTTTTGAAATCTGTCACCAGTTGCAGGTAACATTTCTGGCTTCTCTAATAAACACATTATACAATTAAGTTTTAACTTTTGGTCTAATGAAATTTTCTTCATATATTCCAGAATCCACGGGGAAGTCAGTTAGAGTTGCCCCAATCAATACAGCAACGGGATTAGATATGGTTATTGCTTCTATGCACCATGCCCTTGCTTTTGAATATTAAGCTCAAGAAGCTATCTCTTCCAAACTTCCAACTGTTATGTTTCATTACCACAGCAGTTTTATTGTACGAATATCACTACTGGAGTGTTAGAGTCTATCGAGACTGGCAATATATCTGTTACTTGTGAATCACATAAAATAGAAGTGTCATTTTGTAGATTGTACTCAATTAGATATGATTGATGGATGAAAAGATCCACATAAAAGAAGGTCACGGCCATGATTCTACCAGTTACATTTCTTTTACTTGATGTATGTACAAACCCATACATGAAAGTGGACTGATATTTGAGAATTACATGGTTGGACTATTGAATTAAACGTCCAGTACATGGTGGTCCACAGCAGGAAATTTAAGTACCCTTGACCTACCAAAAAAGAAATATAATAGTATACCTTTTTATGCATCACTATGTTTCTACTTCCAAATGAGCAAGTAGGCACACTGCTCCACCGGAAAGAAACAGGCCCTTCGACGACAATGATCAAAATTAAAACAAATAAAGAAGAAAAGACAAAGTGCAACCATTTATCTGAACTACTGTCACTGCATAAAAGAGTTTCTAATGAAATACCTAATAATGAGTCAACAGAAATACACAGAAGTAAACAGCACTTGAGGTGGCTCACAAATTCTATTACAGCAATTTCACCTTTAAAAAGTAAAGACTTACCAGATACGGGAGACCTTAATAGTTTTGCATCTGTCTTGAAGTCAACTAACGCACCAATCCTGCAAATAAAGCTAGAAATATAGTACAGGAAATATAGCTTGAAATCTCACATATCTAATAAGCAGAAAGATATCTCACCTCCAGATTGTTTCCAAATGATAGAGCCTTAATTTGCTCAATTGTAGGGATCTTTCCATCTTTTAAGTATTAGGAAAGACAACAAACTTTAATTACCAGCGGTCTCTGCAGCTACATGTCCCATCCTTGAACAAGTGAAAGCGATTTGCATCTCTAACTAGTATTTCCCTCTGAACAATTTTTGACACATACTTGGTCCAAGTGTGGCAATCTCCACAAACCCGTAGATTCTTCATTACTTGCAAAGGTGAACCTTCTTTTGTGTTCAACAATCCAAATGCTATAGCAAGTCTTTCACTATGCCCATAAAGCAAATTTATCTTCTCATCTTCACCGACATCATGCAAAACAAATTTTAAGTCAGCAACATAACCTTCCTTGTCCATTGTTCTATTGAGGTCCTCTATGAGCTCATTGACTTGCTTGAATTGTTGAAAGGACCTATCACCAGTGCCAAAAATAAAAACTCTGTTAGAAATCTCAATCCAGCTACATCCTGGGTCTTTCCTAAGACCTCTAGCTTTCAAAGATTTTCGTATTGTTCTCACTTGGTCCCACTTCCTTAAGGAGGCATATACATTGGAAGCTAAAACATTATACCCAGGATCATCAGAGTTCAATTCAACAAGGCGTTCTACGACACGCTCAGCAGTCACGGTATCTCCACTAGCTCGACAAGCACTAAGTAGAGATCCCCACATACTTGCATCAGGCCGCAGCGGCATAGAAAGGATAAAATCCTCTGCTTCAGCCAGTAGCCCAGAACGTGATAAGAGATCAACCATGCAAGCATAATGTTCAATCCTAGGCTCAATGTTGTATGTTTTTCTCATTTGGTTAAAGCATGCACGACCTTCTTGCACTAAACCAGAATGGCTACAAGCATATATAACGGCAACAAAAACAATATGATCGGGAATAGTACCCGTCTCCTTCATCTGCTGAAAAGATCTGAGAGCCTTCTTTCCTTCACCATACATTCCATATGCAGAGATCATTGCTGTCCATGTCACCACATCTTTAATACTCATGTGCTCAAAGACCGATATCGCATTCTTTAAACTCCCAGTTTTAGAGTACATCTCGATCAGTGCATTTCCAACAGGGACTTGTGACTCAAATTTGAGCCTGATTATGAAGCCATGCAGCTCTTTTCCCTGTCTTTTGGCAGCAAGTAAGGAACACAAAGGCAGCGAACCTAAAATGGTAGCCACATCTGGCATGAGTCCTTCCGTTCTCATCCTACTGAGCATCTTTAAACCTAAGTAACTTTCCTCATAATGGCTACAGGCAGCAATAATAGTATTCCACGTTACAATATCTCTACTAGTCATGATCTCAAATTGCCATACTGAATGCTCCATTCTACCACATTTAGCATACACGTCTAGAAGAGCATTGCCCACAATAAGAGTGGAATCATATCCTCTCTTAATTATATCGCAGTGGAGCTCTCTTGTAAAATCCACGTCCATCAATTTTGTACACATTGAGAGTAGTGTGACAAAAGTGACAGAATCAGGTTGCAAGTCTATCCTCATCATCTTAAGCAGATCAACTGCTTCTTTATTAAGCCCGTTCTCAAAATAACCACTAATTATTGAGTTCCATGAGACCAAATCCCATCTTTTCATGTTGTCAAAAACTTGCCTTGCAGCCACCAAATCACCACATCTTGCATACATGTTAATTATGATATTGCAAGCAGTCGTGTCACATTCGTATCTGTTTTCCAAAATATAGTCATGAACGAATCTTCCAAATCGTAAATCCCCCATATGCCCACAAGCTTGCAAAACAGAAGTAACTGTAAGGAGATCTGGCTTGTGTTCATCAACCATTTCTTGAAACAATTTGATGGACTCCTGATACAACCCCGAGTGAGAAAACCCACAAATTATAATATTCCAAGTGACAATATCTCTATATATCATCTCATCAAAGATTCTCTGACAGTCCAACAACCTCTCAAACTTAAAGTACATTGAAAGCAGACCATTACTCACAGCCATATCTCCCTTAATGCCACTCTTCTCCACCAACCCATGAACCATCTGACCCTGTTCAACCTCCATCAGACCCCCACATGCAGGTAAAACACTAGACACAGTAAAAGCATCAGCAGCAACACCTGATAACCTTCCCTCTCGAAAAACTTCTAAAGCCTCCTCCCAATACCCATTCGCACTATACCCTGAAACCAAACTATTCCAAGAAACCACGTCTCTACTAGGCATTTCATCAAACACCACACGCGCTCTCCCTAATTCGTTCATCCTCGCATACATATCAATCAAAGCATTACATATATACAAATCTGATCCAAACCCCATCTCCGAAACCTCATTATGCACAATTTTCACCATTTCAAGATCCAATAAACTGCCACACGAATTAATAATCGAAGGGAATGTATAATTATCAGGCTTAACATTTAATTTTCTCATTTGGGTATAAAAGTCTAATGCTTTAGACCATAACCCATTATGGGTCATGGCTCTAATGATAGTGTTCCATAAGTAAACATTATGTGTAGGCGAATTTATGCGGAAAATGGATAATGAAGAAACAGGGTCTTTGAACTGGGAGTACTTCGAAATGAGTTTTCCACAGAAGAACGTTGATTGATGCTGGCCTGAAACTACTATGAGAGAATGAACTTTGTGGAGATCAGTTTGGTTAGTTACAGAAGATAATGCTCTTAAGATTAAAGAATGGAACCAATATTCAGTTCTTTGGCCTACAATGCCAAGCTTTATGGTCTTCATGGATGAAAAAAATAAATATGATCTTTTGGATTTTTGAAACCACAAGATTTTATAGTATTCTGGGTGTGAGTTGGCAGCTACACCGCCACGCCACCAATCTCAAAGTTTTATTTCTAAACTCTCCATCTTTATCAAGTTTTTTTTGATCTTTTTATTTCTTAGATTTGTTACATTTAAATGGAGCATCTTACATAAACAATGTTTTTATTTCTACAACTTTGTGATATTTCTAAATGTATATTGTTATAGTTGATAGCTGTAAAATATGGAAAAAAAAAATTTAAGATGGTAACGAAAAATGTACATATTAACGATTCAATATAGTTGGCCAACTAATAATCTAAATTTGAGGTAATAATTGTTGCATCAAAAATATTTTCTTTGCCAAAATCTGATGTTGGCTTTCTATTTCAAAGACAAAAAGCTTAATCCCTGATGTGACCAAAGAAAAGTGGAACAACTAAGCAATCAGTGTACTTGTAATGCCCATTTGAATTACTTCAACTAACCAAGAAGCTATAGAAAAAGGAAATCGTTTGTGCATTGATTCTACAGAAATTTAGGGTTCGTAATTTAATTAAAAAAGTAGTATCTAAATTCGAGCTCTTATGAACTAACATCCCTAGGTACTGTAGTAGTGCCTTTGTGCCGAGATTTTCGGGATGCTGCTTGGTATAGACAGTTATGAAGATAATAATTGGTTCCATAAACCATATGAATGAAAACTAACATCAATATCATCAATAGAATACATTGCCACAAACAGCTACTGAGTAAACTACAGCTAAATGCTTCAGGTGTACAAATAACTGATACCAGTGCCTGAAGAGAAACATTCAATTAGTGATGAGGAAGTCACAAAGTTCAAGAGAAACAAATAATAAGAGATATAAAACCAGTTAGTTTTTCATTGTATTGTAATAACAAGAGTCAATCCTATACTGTCATCAACTATTTACATGTTTGTACAGATACCAGTGTATCCACTGTCAGGTAAATGAGTGTGTTAACGGCAATAGACCAGTGTTATTCAGGTTAATCTGCATCCAAGCTTCTTTGTACAATCAGAAATTGCACACTGGTAACTTATAATTAATCAGTCTCCTCTAAGAAAAGGGAGGCATCAGCACTATAATGTCAAGACACCTGTACATGGATTGTAGATGGGATCAGAAAGCCTTGCAAAGGTTAGAATTCACGTTAGACGAACATTGTTCCCTTATTGGACTATTGTTGACACACAGTCTGCTTCGTTTTGGTTCAGATATCCTGCAATGCAATATCGCTGCTGCAAGCACATCAACTAAACCAGAGTCGTCGGATTCTTCAGATTCCCTGTTCAAACTTCCACACCTTAAATCATTGGTTTCTCCATTGAGAGATTTACAGCATCTCTTCTTTCCATCTGATTCTAATCTAGAGGTAATGGCTGGTATTTGGCTTGGTGTTCCAGAGAAATGCTTTGGCTTCAACCTGACAGACACCATCTTCAAAGTGCGCTCTGTGTAGAACATCATCCATGGATGGCCTGAAAATACATCTTTAATCAGTAATTTGGAAATAAAATAACCAAATGTTAATAATTATTTGGTAAAACAGATCAAGAAAAATTTATTCAAGCAAAAGAACGACATAAAAATGTTAAGGTGGGTTTCTCTGTGTGTAAACCGGCGCAAAAGTAACAGAAAATTGTCAATGTGTCAATGGCCTTAATCATTCAGATTATTCTCTCCATAGTAAAAATCATGTATAATCAAAACTAAATAGGATTAAAAAATTGTCAGCCCAGTTACCTACTTAATGAAGCAACTAGCAAAGAAACCAGCCAGTTACAAACAAAGTAAGATGCTTACTTAAAACTTCTTCAGCAGTTATCCTTGCAGCAACATCCCTTGTAAGAATCCGCTCAAGAAGATCACGTGCAAGTTTAGATACAGATTGCCATTTTTCAGTGTGAAAATCAAGTTGCATGCTTTTAATTGCCTCAAAAAGAGCGTCCAAAGAGTCCCCTTGAAATGGAAGGACACCAACCAGTAGTCCATGTAAAAGAACACCAGCACTCCAAATATCTGCTTTTTGACCATAATCCCCTGTAAGAACTTCAGGGGCCACATACGCAGGACTTCCAGCCAAACCACTTAAACTCTGACCTGCATTATAAAAGTTAACTCCATAAATAAGGTGAAAATTGAGTTACGATGGACATATCTGGCCTATCCTTTGCTAAGTAAAATAATTCCTCATCCTTCAGAAAAGACCAGAGGATAATATAAAAGGAAAAGCAACCAAAAAAATTTAGACTAAAGCAAAACAGCATATGCCACATTTTAACATTATGATCAGATGTATTTAGGGTTGTTCCATGTTTACACAGAAAAATAATATTTAAACAAAAAAGCATATGGGGATCAACTAGGAGAATTCAGCAGTCAATCGGCAAGTAAACATCTGAATTGCTCAAAAGCATCATGCCTAGAGGTAACTCAATTAAATGATGATTAGTAAACTACATTCACGACCATAGATTTAGAAAGTTCACTAAGGTTTATTTGAAGGTACGTTCTACCAAATTCCATCTACTTGTGGGGCCAGGCAAAAAAATCCTGAGAAGTGTATTCCTTTCACCATGGAGTCTTCTCCCTTACAGTTCTTTTTCCCGAGGGAGTACTCTTTAGGAAGTTAGATCTCTATAGTTTCGACTTCCAATTATTTGCTGATGTGTGGCAATTTAGTCAACGAATATAGTCCATATAACTTGAGTGGGTTCACTACAAAAGAAAAAGAGAGAGAAGTTGTGTGAAACCCTAACTTGTTTAGCTTAGCTTAGCTTCCCCCCCCCCCCCCTCATTCCTGACTCCATGACACCACTCTGTCCTACATAGCTAGTTTCTTGCTGCTCTGAAATTATATTCCACACTTTTTCTGGTTTACTTGGACTTCGCATGTTGAAGCTGAATTATATTTAATTTTGTTAGGGAAATTACCCTCGATCTAAGTACTACCTTACATCATTTGTATGCTAAATCCTAAACCATTCGGGAAAGCCCATTGATTTGGGCTTGGGACATCCATGTTGGAGGTCTCTAAGTTCGAAACCCCTTGCAGCGAACACGAGGGGTTTGCCTTCTGGTTCGAGCTCGTTGCACCGCGATTGCCTAGTGCGGGGTTACCTCCCATGTGTGGTTTTATTTATGTTATATTGTCTTTTGAGAAGACAAGTTCAAGATACTCTCCTCATGCCTATGAAGTATGTCTACCCACTCTAATAGTAGTCAAACTTGGATTAAACCAACAGTGGAACATGTAATTAAAAAACTAAGGCATACACTATTAGAAACAACTAGCAGTTGGAAGAGATATGAAAGCAAATGCTAAGCAGAAGCATTGTTACTGAGACTAGACGAGCAAAAGGTCCCATAAAAATGAAGCAAACTTCCAACACCTGGTAAACATGATAGTGCAATAAGTGACAACAAAAAGAAGCAAGTGTAACATATATAATTGGTTCCGGTGCAATACTTTACCATTGGCAATCCTCATAGCCAAGCCGAAATCTGCAAGCTTTATCTTCCCAGAAGCAGTTAGAAGGATATTCTCAGGCTTAATATCCCTATGTACAACTCCCATATCATGGCAATATTGAATCACCAACATCAAATCCTTAAATATATTAGCAGACTTCTGCTCCGAATATCTTCCCTCCTTCGTCATCTCGTCAATCAACCTCCCACCAGAACACAACTCCATTACCAAATGAAAACTTTCCGCATCCTCATACACTGAATGCAATGTCACCACACCCGGGTGCCCTGATAAGTGTTGCATTATCTCTACTTCCTTATGAACTGTCTCTTCCCCTTTTGGCAGTGTCTTACAAGCAAATTCAACACCAGTAGCCTTACTCCTACACAAAAAGACTGACCCAAATTTACCCTTCCCCAAAGCTTCCCCCATAACATAATCATCTTCAATCTTATTCTTCCTACCCATTTGCGTCGCTGCCTCTATACATCCTATCTTTCTCTTAACCCCTCTCCCACACAAACTAATCGAAGAACTCCCACTCGGCGGCGCAGTTGCAGCAAGCCTAGTTCTACTTCCACAAGACCCAACAGTAACCTCACAACACAACCCATCATCTTCCTTGCACCTTTTCTTCAACCTTCTAGAACATTCCTCTAACGAAAAACGAGTTTTCAAATTCGACATCGAAGATCCCGAATCACGAATCGAATTCCACATATCTCTCTGTCTAGGGCACAAAATCTCACAGCCTTTTCTCTTATTCCTCATCAATCAATCCCACTATACCCCAAATTACTCAAAACTAATCCAAACCCAATTCACGTATCACCTAAACAGTGACACTGAAAATCTTTCAACAAAAAAAAACACAAAATTCAAGAATCGAACCTCGTACGACAGAAAGATGAAATAATAGCCCAAAAAATCAGGAAAAAATCAGAAAAAATTGAGGGATCAATAGTTATGATCACAGACGGAAATCCTTCAATGATTTTAAACTTAATCAGAACTCAGAAGCAAAACAAATCTGCATTGAGATCATATGGATTTAGGTTTTGCTTTTGAAAGAGAGGTGGAAAAGGGGTTCTAGAGAGTGCTTAATAGAAATTAGAAAGAAATAAGAAAAGAGAGAAAATAATTTTGAGCTATTTATAAGAGTTTATAATATAAAGTTTTTTATTTCTCTATCCTACGCGTAATAGAAGTCAAACGTCATAATTATTTTAAGAAACTATTTTATTATATAAAAAATTTGTAATTTTAAATTCAAGAAACTTCTTCTTCTTTTTTTAATGTAATATATCTAATTTTAAGTAATTTGTACTATTATTTTTTATTGCAAAGGTGAATTATAATGCTACTTAAAATAATTTATAATACGATATTGAAATGATTTGTTATGATAATATGAGTAATATTTATGCATATTGTTTCCTTATATAATTAGGTTTAGTAAAGGAAAGTTCTTAATGAAGGAAAAAATTATATGGTAACTAAATTCCTTTTTTCAAAAGGCTAGCAAGAGTTTAATTTTCTTATAAATTAGAGACTTTATCACTTAATTGCATAATTTATTATTATTATTATTTTGTATTATTATTATTAAAATAAAATTTCTACTTTTTTTTTCTTTTTATTTCTTATAACAAAGTTTA